TCCTTTCCTTCCTCCCTCTGACCCACAACCTCTCCTCCTTCCTCCTTCCCACTTCTACATCCCCTCCCTTCCTGACCACCTCCTCGAGTGCAATTTGGGATACCAGCCGAGCATCTCCTCTTATCAATACAATTATTATTTACCTATAACATGTAAATCCATCAGGTTTTTTTTCCCCTAATCCCCTTCCCCCCCTGAGCTTCCCGGAACCAAATACAGGATTGAAACACATCCCATTCCATATCTAAATTACCATTTAACTAAACAAATATAATACTATCATTATATACCTACTTTAACTCTAATAAGGCAATAAGTAAAAACAATATATCTACTCAAAAACTATATGATATTTAATCACTCCATACTTTCTCTAAATATAATCTATCCACCTTCAACATTTAAACTTTATATAATTTTTTTTTCTTACATTTTACACTTAAATGTTCCCTTCACTTTCTTCCCTCTCAAGTCTATACTTTCAATAAAATCTTAAGTCAATACTTCCTGCTTCACAGCTGGAAAAGTAAAATAAAATCCCAATATTAAATTATTATTTTTTTACATCTTTCAAAAAAACACAAAAAACTATAAGTTCTTTACAAACATATAATAAACTAGTTTCTTCCATTTCCGTAATAAAGTCTCACTTCCAGCGTTTATCCATCCTTTGGCTTATGAAGCTTGCTAAGCATTCCCTGCATATCTGTCGCTGCAGATCTCTTTGGCCTCGCCCCACCCACTGGCTCCGAAGGCTGTGGATATGTTATAGAGACTGTTTCTTTTTGTTGCTATCTCTCTTTAAGCCTATAAGCAGCACGGGTCATCCTTTGCTCCTTCTGAGGATCTCCTACAGATAATGACATGGCCCCAGGCAGTTCCGCAACAAGTTGCTCCATCAAATCTTCCTGTGCTTTAGATGTCGATGATGGTGACATATCAGCTTTCAGGACCGACAAATAAAAATCCTTAGCTTTTTGAACAGAATTTAATCTGTATCTGGTCCCTGCGAAATTTAACACAATACCCAAAGGAATTTCCCATCTAAAAGGTATCTGCCGCTTCTTTAACTCCTGAGTCAA